GTACGTTTGATCCTTTTTTTTGTTGGTTCCAGCATATCTGACATTCCCATGAAGGCGTCACGAAATCAACTTTAATTAACCCGCGGTCTTCTGCCGATCAGCGACCTCAAAGAACAGAGGAGATGTCTTGATATTTCTGAAAACGGAGATGCAAACTGCAAACCCTCAAATCCTTCGAATACTCAACACTGCACGGCTCACGCGATGCAGCGCATTGACTTGCATCCACCTTTACCGCTAAGGGCACCTTACACCACGGGCAAGCAAAGGCAGCAATACCAAGGTGCCTTTCTGGCAGCTCATTTTACGCAAAAACCTATTTGTCGGACACTTCGGGGGTTTCAGTGTTATGAGCGCAGCTGTGAATTTTGTTTGCCAAGTGCAATGCGAATATCGTATGCAAGTCCCACAACATTCACCGCCACTACTCCAGAGACTGTTTGAAAGCAATTAATTTAGCAATTGCTTATCCGAAAGGGGATCCAATTAAGCGGTTTCCAGATTAGTCTTTGTTAAGTAAGAGGGGGGGGGGGAAACATATATATTTTTATTCAGTGGTGAAACAATGATTTCTACAATGGTGAATGTTAAGCAATTACTGAAACAACCCAGTGGCTCGTTTAAACACGATATGCATCGAAACGGTTGTAAATTATTCTTGAAATATCAACGTTACATATTTTCTATATGATTTAAGGAATTTTACATCTGGGCACTATAAAAACGATCTAAAATTTCTTATTTCACCACATTGATATTCATGCCAATATTAAAATCGAAATAGTGCATTAAAAATATCTTTATTTTGTGGCAGTGTATCAAGTTTAAGTAAATGGTTTTTCTTTAAATACTCTTTCAACTTTGCAATGGAGATGTTAATCAATATTAGATCATGAGGTCTCCGTGAATACCCTCCACTCGTGCGCACAAAAGGAGAAAGAGTGAGAGGTAAATGATTTAACAGCAAGCACAATTGCTTTGAGATTATAATTCATATTCCATAAAGGTATCTTGCTGGTGCATCACTAAAAAGGCCATGGGCTTTGAACACAACTGCAACCTCAAAATCAATACCAGTTGGGTTAGAAACCCCAACAGCAAATTCTAGATCCACTGAGACAAAGATAATTTAGGGACATCTGTGGCACGTCAGGACACAGCGGAATGTGAATCATTATAGAGGCACATCTGCCTACTGCCACATTCGCATAATCATTTGGCATAGATTTTATTCTCGTGGCTTCATGACCTCGAATGAGGATTGTTTTATTATTGTTGCCGTTATTTATGTTTGCTGAATACAATTTATAGACATTCCGATTCATTTACCCGCTCTAGCACAATCACAGATATCGCCTACAACCACAAAATACATTTGTGCCTCTTGCTGTCACTTCGGCTGATCGTGATGACGTTGTGGCAAGACATTTCCTTCATGGTTGTTGGGAGGGGGGGGGGGGAAATGACGAGTAAGAATATTAACATTCAGATATGATGCTCGATAATAAAAACATGCCTTTTCGAAAATGGCCAAACAATTTGTATGGTCAAACAACTCCCATGACTAAAACAGAGTTTCATCGAGCAATGGAATGCCACTGCAATAAAACAGTTATTGTTAAGCGATCTGCAGTGCATTTCACAGACATAGAGAGATGGCCAGACGTTTTCCTTCAGAATAGGATTTTGGACGCTTATCTTCGGCTTGTCAAATGGACCACAGAAATGACAATGACAACCATTAAAAGTAAAGTATGCCAAAGTAAATATAAATAAACAATACACAGAGAGCAGACAAATAATATGACGCTTCTTTACCAAGGAAAACCTCACCGAGTCTCAAGATTTTTTTTTTTCAGGAGGGTCCTGCCAAGTTTTCACAGTCGATGTTGATACATTAAATCCCAAGTGAATATTTTTTGTGTAAATTTTCAGCATTGGGATGTTAAGCCAATACCAATCACATAGTATGTTTGTTAGCTACGAGAGGAAACCAAATAAACCTTTAAAACTATATTTTTTTTTTACCAGGCAAGGCCCACTGAGCTATTTATATTTATTTCAGAAACGACGTGGCCACAAATGGTAGCTCATCGAAATGGCTTATCACGTGGAAATGTATAACAACCAAAAACTCTAAACTCATGTTTCTAAGTGTGGAGGGAAAAAAACCGGTAGACCCGGATAAAAATCCACGCGACCAAGGGTAAAACATACAAACTCCACTCAGAAAGATGCCCCGTTCTGGAATCAAACCAAGACGCTTCTTGCCGTGAGGCACAAGTGTTACTGCCGTGCCACCCTGTCCCATAATAATGGCTAATTATGCGTCTACAACACTGGGAATTAAATGCAAGGGGTTTGGCGACTAAAACACGTGCGTGATGGTGTGCACTAGCGTGCGTAATGTCTGGTGCGTGCCCATTTGCATGGCACACACAGAGCATTCGCTAATGGGGGCTGCAACACTCGCGCCTGCGTTTAAAATAGTATAATTGCGAGTTATATCTATGGGACCTTTTTGCCAGTATCAAAATGATGAAAAAATTATAATATGCTTAACCTCTTCTGCCAATAAAGCAAGAGGTGTTTAGATGTTCAGAGACCAAATAGGTACCTATTGCAAGGCATATCAGCTCTGCATTAACCACATACTTGTGGCAAAAATGAAAAAAACATGCTCTGATAATATACGCATTTTCTTTGAAACTGATGTCTCGCAATAGGTATCTAATTGGTGGCTGAGCAGCTCACCACCTGTTTTTTTATTGCCAGAAATGATAAAAGGCCTATTCTTATTTGTGTTCATCATTATAATTGCAATGTCGTGTTGCACCAACACCTGCACACGCGAATACACGCATGTCCTGCCTGCTTGTACAGAGTGTTCCTTTTCACAGCTGAAAATATGTAGTTTCATGCGATACCGCACTTTGCAAAGTGGCATACGCCATAGAAACGATGATGCACACTGACGGTGCTTTGGTGCCAGCATGCCAGTCTTCCGTAAATGGTTAAGTTTGGGAAAAGAAGAACAGGCATGGTGGCCTTCCTTAACAATAAATAATGCAAATGTACAGCAATACTTTGCTCATGCCCCTTGCTGCAAGAAGGACCTCCGCTCGAGGAATCACTGCATTAGAGAACCTCTCCTGAACTTATTTTAGCCTCCTCTTCCACGCTTGCCCCACGTCTTGGAAGAGATGGGAGTGCCAAAACCTTTCCCTGCTGTGCCGATCGACTGACTGTGATGTCTCATTTATACTGCTGCTGGGTGAACGGAGGTGGAAGAGGTGTTAGGGGGAGTAGGGAAAGATGGGAAAATGTAATAAGCTTGCCGATTGTTTCAACTGTCGTGGTTGGGAGATCAAATCAGTGATCTACAGAACGCTAATTCAGTGTGATAACCATTACACCGTGGCGGAATCCCCATAAATGGACACTCGCAGCAGAATAAACATTCCCTTTGGAAGGATGCTACATTCTCTGATGTTGCTTCCACTCATACAATGATGTGGTTTTAGCAATTAACGGCTTGGCTCAAATATGCAGGCTTGAACCACTACTGGACCCCGTGCTGCCAAAAAGAAAAATCTTCAGCCATGGACCTTGCGTTCGTGCTTCCTCCATGTAACCTACAATTACTGGACCATTGCCACAACCGGTCAGGCTGCAGTGAACACTCGAGGTGACTTTTCTACTTGCATGCGTGACGGCCAAAATTGTAGTCTTTGGTTATTTTTTTTTTCCCAGTGGACATAATGCAGCGAAAGTACAGGTTGGAGGACAGCAGGAACGGCAATTAGGAAATATGCAACTGTTTTTTTACAGACCATACTCCCACCTCTGCAACTCTGATAGGCTACAGCCAGTACCAAGGCATGAGTGCAAACTTGAGGTACGAATGGTGTGCCCCTCGTGTTTTATTTATTACTTTGTGCCAAGTGTGTCTCGTTTGAGCCCATCAGAAAACTTGAGTTTTCGCCTGCACTTTTGTGTTTCCTCACTCTGAAGAACCCACGGTGGGTGATAAATGAAACAAAGGCGAGCACATTGCCTTCCCAAACTGAATTCATTCCTCACAACTGGCAACCTACCAAATAGGGGAATTAGCCTTTAATCCGTCACGTGGTCTCTGAAGTGTAGGGTTAATCTGCAAACTACACCCACTACTACCTGGATTCAAATCAAACGTTTGGGTCCCTTTCGCAAAAATGTTAATCCACCTGTATATTTCCTTTGGCCCTCATTGTTTACTTGAAGCATCCCGGAATAAGCATTGTGTATATAGTTTAGAAAGCGTGATGGCAGATGGCACCAGTTAAATGGTTAAACCGCTAATAAGAGGACACAAGCCAGGGGACAGGGCTGCTTTGGCCATCTGGTTCACTCGCTGCCTTTGCGTGATTCCATCCCACCACTCGGAAGGGCAACAAAAGTACGTCTATCCTCCCAGCAGTGGAGAACGTGTCCAAGTGGTGCGGCTGCCTGCTGTCCTCTCGCTCTTGCTGGTTTACAGAAAATAAAACACCATCAGATTAGGTTCACTGAGAATGAACAAGGTTAACAAATACCTTCTAAAACATGTTGCAGTCGTGTCCTGTTTCGAGATGTCATTAGCCTAATGGAGTACATTTTTGTAAAAGTGCTTCAACTCTGATAATATTAACCTTGGAAATATCATACCCTCTTATATATAGCATGACGTCATTCATATAGTGCGGCGTGGTGTGTGCATGCCAAATATTGCCTTGTCGTAATTTGAGCCAGTGGTTTACATAACCCAGCATTGGTGACGTTCAAACTGAATAGCCACACATTTGCCAAAACATTCTCACATTCTCCTGCTTGCAAGGCAAACACTCAACACAATCATATTTGACTAAATATGTAGCCCGGGACACAAAAAATGCACACATTGCTTGGGAGTATGTTTTCGAATGGAATTGTCGGAAATAATTTTCTTTGAAATTTAATATCGAAATAAAAAGAAGGCATACCTGTGCAGACCAGCCAGCCTTTAGCCAGCTGCCGTATCCGTTTGCGGTGCGACTTCCCGTTGTAGTGGATCTGAGTTTGCGCTCGCGAGTTGAGCTGGATGTTACAGATTTCACAGAAAGTAACGCCGGACTTCTTGGCCTCCCGGTGACCACCGACGTCTTGGGGCCCATGCAGCCCTTCCTCGGGTGCCTCGGCACGCTGCGGGCACTCTCTCGGCAAGTCTCGCCCGACGTCCCAAATCATGGGCAGCCCAAACTCGTCTTGTGCCATCGCTGGCAATGGCTCGGCGCCGTTGCTCCAGCAGCCAGAGGTGGGCACCACGCCACTCGCAGAGAGGTGCTGGGTCGGAGGGGCAGTGTCCCACGTTTCAGCCGGAGCGGTCACGGGATCTGCTAGGTCACCAGCCAGCTTGACGGGACGAGAGTCACTACGCGCCCAGAGCCCTTGCATCTCCGGGAGTGCGTGCCCAGTGTACAGCATGGGGTCTGGGGGCTTGTTAGGTCCCCCTGTAGCATCCCAGTATTCTGAGGTTGACGGGGGAACGATGGCGCGGTTTGCAGGGACGTCCCGCGAGAGAAATCCATTGCTCCAAGCAGGATCTCCGTATACGTTCCTCATTGGACTCGGTGGCCTCTTCATAACCTTCGGGGGGAATAATAGGAAGCAAACATCGAGAACAAGAACAAATATAATCAGGTCTAAAACAACTTTAACAAATTAAAGTAAACGGTGCACAGATTATGTGTTCATATTATTGGTTCTTTCGATAAAGTCACATAGAAGGGAAACAATAACATAATAAAATATAAAACAATAAAATTATCACGATGTTTCGACTGCAACACAAGCAATCATCATCAGGTGTGAAAACCACAGCAAGAAAATTTGCACTATAGAGCCCAATGCATATCCGACCAGGAACACATAGCCAGTGAACTCAAGCACGTACACCAAGTTCTTAAGGCTAATGGTTACTCCGACTACACAATCCGCAAAGCTATCACTCCAACCATGAAGTAGGACCCTCTTGAGGAGCCATTCAAAACCATCACTTTACCCTACATTGCGGGGATCACAAAAATTTCTCCAAAATCTTGAATAAACACAAGATCCAGGTCCGATTCAACACATTGCATAACATCCGTGATCTGGTTCCGTCTGTAAAAGATGTGATTCCGGACATACAGTACCCTGGCGTCTACAAACTAAGTTGCCTCTGTGGTAGCAGCTACATTGGAGAAACCAAACGACATGTCTCGGACCGCATTCGTGAACACAAAGCAGACCTAAAACACGGTAGGACCAACACCTCGGCCGTGGCAGATCACTGTTATAATTCAGTAGGCTCACATGACATTGACTTCTCCAAGACAGAGGTTCTTTGCAAGCCATCTGGCTACCATGACAGATTCGTTCATGAGGCTATCCAAATATACAAACACAGAGACAATTTCAACCGAGAAGATGGATTCTGGCTTAGCAATCATTGGAAGGATTTGATCAACCATTTCGGGTCTTAATTGATTGTTCACGCTTACGGTGGCTTTCAGACCGCATCCATTATTTTCGCCTCCCCCCTCCTCTTTTCTGAACATAGATGGACTCGTCCATCTGAATAACTGCCAAAGCGCTCTCCGTGGTGCTAACGTTAAAATAACCGCCACTTTTTTCAAATTTTCATGCTGTGGTTTTCACACCTGATGATGATTGCTTGTGTTGCAGTCGAAACGTCGTGAGAATTTTATTGTTTTATATTTTTATTATTTTATTGTTTCCCTTCTACGTGACTTTACCGAAAGAACCAATAATATGAATCTCTGCAGTCACGACAGCTTTAAATCAAAAGATTACGTGTTCTCTACTTTAGCGAGCACATGTCAGCGATTCATGAAATAAACATTGCACCTTTGTTTTAAATTCTGAAAAAAATACAATTAGGGTACACATTAAATATACGACCAAACAGCTGCAAAACAACACATGGCTTCTATTACTCAGCGCCTGTTTATCCATTTTAATCAAATGTATTAATACGTACATAGAATGCTAAAAAACACAACTTATTTGTGCAGTTCATTGGCAATAAATATTCCTTTGAATGCGGATGTATTATGAAAATGCAGAAATCCTCCAAAAGGACAGTGCAAGGGCCAAAATTCTGTTCGTCATTATCCTTGCGAGTGGAGGATTATATTGTGGCACTGCATCAATGGACAACAATGCTTGCTGTCAAACGCTGAGGCTGTTTTTTTATGCTAAGATCCCGGCGCTCTGCCTCTGTCCATGGTGCTGAAACTTGGCACCCCTCCCAAAAGTCAACATAACCTCTCCTTCCTTTTCTCCCCCGATGGGACTTGGCTAAATCACTTTCCTAATGTTTGTTGAAACCATGACATTTAAAACTGCGTGATTTGTTTTCCTTTGTCCTACTTCTCGACTTAAAAAAGGTAAAGAACACGATTAAAATATTCCTGGCTTAATTAATGAAAACGTAATTAAACCATCGCAGTGATTTTTTTTATTACTCACACTGGCACATAAATCAACTCACTCTGCTTATTGAAAACGACCACATTTATCATTTGCCATTCACAGACATAACCATCGTCACATATTGTTCTGCTAGCCGTTATTTTGCTGCTTAAATGGACAGCAGCTGCAGCATTAACATTGGATGGGTATTCTTTGCAAAAGTAATGATGAAAACTTGAAGATATTAGAAAAATTAAATAACATAAAAAATCTCGATAATTGTTTTGTTTGGAGTAATTATGTACGTATGTTAAACGCATTTTTTCGCACAGTACGCAAACCAACCACGCTAATCGGAGACGTATGTATGTTGAATATCTTTCGCACTGTACATAGCCAACCGTGCTAATCGGAGGTGTGTGTATGTTGAACTTCTTTCATGAACTTCCCTCGCACCGTGCGTAGCCAACCGTGCTAATCGTTAAACACGTAACAGTGAGTAAATAACATTGGACTACAATTCATACTGGCAGCACTGGTATCCAGGCTGTGTCCCATTTTGTAATTCGCAAGCTGTGAGCAACTATAAATTGAAGGTACTACATCTCAAAGGGCCACTTTGCATCAGACCTTGCCACCATAACTCAATGCCACCCCTCCTATGCAATTCCAACCTCAATCTTCCTTCGTACAATATGGTCTCCCAGGTGAATTGTCACTGTCGCCAGTGAATTCATTTCGAGATAAATAGGGAGGGTTCAGGAGGCCCTGGGTCATTCGTGTCTTTTGTTAGCTGGGACAGTTTGACCTGTAAAAAGAATTCCGGATGATGCCATCACACGAGTCCATTGAAGTATCTTTACTGCACTTTCAAGTAAATGAATCGTTGTTCTGATGAGGTCTGGTCTAAGATCACAAGGTAATGGTTTGCCCTTAAACGCAGGTGCAAGGTTATAAAAAATAAAAAAAATAAACAACAACAGTGTCTGGGACCCTTTCTTAACGCCCTCAAAGCACACGCTGCTTTCGGTCACATTCCCTTGCAAAAGCTCTCGGCTTAACGGAAGTCTCTGCCCTCATTCCACAGAGTCACTTTGGTCGGGTAAACCTGATAACCTCTTGCAATTGGTTTTTCGTGTGTGCGACCGGTGCGTGTCGTGAGTAGCACACATTGCCACGCTCCTTTGCTGTGGCCCCTCCTGCCGAAACGATGTCAAGAGAAAATGCCCGGGGAAACGCTCGCAATCAATTTGACGCTTTGATGCATTGTGACAATTTTATATATAAAATATATATTTGGATCAATGATCAGCAGCTAAATTAATTATTTATCTGTAATACCATTTCTTCAGGAATGCTTTACTAAGTCTGAAGATTGTGTTTCATGAGCGTCCTGCTTTTGGATGTCTAACCAAATGCAGTTCTGAGTAACACGTCACTGAATCTCATTCCCACATTGTGTATTTTGTTTGACCATACTTCGCCACGCTGGTCAGTTCAGGATTAGTCACATTGTATGCATTAGAATTAGAAATACGTCAGTAACATATATTGAAATGGGAATTTTTATAACAAAAACACTGCATAAAATACCTTCATATAGCCCTGATAGTTCAACTTGACATCCTTCACACTACGTTTATTCAAATTCAATGTCGCAATGCCAGAGGTTCCTGGGCAGACAATGCAAAAGTTCAGAGCCTAGCTAGAAAGAGGGCACAGCGAGCTCCATGTTGTCATTGCACTGCCAATCATCGTTACCTTAAGGCTTAGCAGATTGACCTTCCCCTTCACCCACTCACACTCCTCAACTTGAATAAGGAAAAATATTATTTCCATGAATATGAATGATGAATTGTGTATGACCACAGACTTTGCAAACACTATGCGTTCTGGAGAAGCTGCCTGCAAAATTGATATATATTTATATATGTAAGGGACACTGCTTAAAATACAGGAGACTATGATTGTCTCGGGCAATTAACGGAAGGAAGATCCAGATTTAATAATAATAATAAAGGGCCAGACAATATCGTGGTTATGCGCTTTTTTTAAACTGAACTGAATGATGCGAAGTGGGGTTCAGAAGAAAGTTTTCAATCAGTCCACACTGCCGGTCATGCTATGTGAGCCAGAATCAGAATATGTATTTATCCTGGAGGAATCTGATTAACTATGAAGCTCTTTTTTCACAGAGGTCCAGTAGGGGCACGGGGTAAGAGCGTTACAACAACAAACAGTACAAAGCACGATAGGAGTGCAAAGTACAAGAAAGGTGAACAAATTACCAAAATACATACAAATGAAATTAAACCATCCCCATCCTGCCAGGCAAAGCCCATTGAGGTATTAACTTATTTTTCAGAAGTGAACTAGCCACAAATACCTGAACAAAGTGGTCCATCATTTGGACAATTATAAAAATGGAGGAGAAAAACCAGAAGACCCGGATAAAAAAAAAATCTACGCGATCACGGGGAGAACATACAAACTCCAAATATATATATGCGTCAGGGTCGGGCTCGAACCCCCTGACCTACACACCAGGCGAGGTAGTAACATCACGGACACTGTACTGGGGCATCAGGTATAGCGGGCGTCCCAAACAAAAATACAAAATAATATAACACGATGGGGGCCTCCTCATCAGAAATTACGTAGTAGGGTCCAAGGCAGTGGTTCTTAACCTTTACTGCACCATTGCACTCCTTTGGTTGTCAGTCGTTAAAAAAAAGTGTTAAAAAAGACATAGGTTTAATGAAACAGAGTAGTTGTACTTAACGTGACTGTGCTTAATTTGTGTTTCGATTATTTACCTTCTAAAAAAAATCGGGCATGTTCCGCACCCCCAGGAAGGGCATTTCGCACCTCCAGAACCACTGGTCTAAGGGGACACATACATATGTAGTGATATAGCGCTGACTGTTGGACAGCAACTGCAGGTGCGCACTTAGCGCACATGCCGCTGAGCATATACGCTGTGTGTGTGCCGGCAGGGCGGAGAAACTGGGACAAGGGTCACGATAGACCTTGTGTGGAAGCCCCTGGAACCCTCTAGACTCTAGAGGGTTCGAGAAGGGAGGCGCGGCTAGGGTGGAGCCAGGCTGTGCCGAGGGGAATAAAAGCAGCTGAGAGCGAGAGCTCCGGGCTGCCGGTTCTGTGGTTGGACT